GGGGCCCCGAGGTGACCGCCAGCCCCGCGCCCACCTGGGACGTGCCCCCGGACAACGCCTCGGGCTGCGGGGAGCAGATCAACTACGGCAGAGTGGAGAAAGTTGTGATCGGCTCCATCCTGACGCTCATCACGCTGCTGACGATCGCGGGCAACTGCCTGGTGGTGATTTCCGTGTGCTTCGTCAAGAAGCTGCGCCAGCCCTCCAACTACCTGATCGTGTCCCTGGCGCTGGCCGACCTCTCGGTGGCCGTGGCGGTCATGCCCTTTGTCAGCGTCACAGACCTGATCGGGGGCAAGTGGATCTTTGGCCACTTCTTCTGCAACGTCTTCATCGCCATGGACGTCATGTGCTGCACGGCCTCAATCATGACCCTGTGCGTGATCAGCATCGACAGGTAAGGGCCGGCCGCCCCGTCCCGCGGCCGGCGCGCTCGCCTTCCCCGGGCGGGTGAGCCAGACTTCGCGGCGGGATGGAGGGCTGCGCGTAGAGCCACCCCCCACACCAACCCCGCACCCGCCGACTTCAGGGAGAGCAAAGCCTGAATTCACCTTTCAAGGAAGAGCCCGAAATGTTCTGGTTTACTCTTGAGGATTTTAAGACTAAAGTTAAGAGTGTTTCAAGCATTAGCAGTTCCACCAGGGGGTCTCTTGTCTTGGTTTTCAGGAGGGAGGAATCTGATCCTCTCTGAGCTTGCCGTGAGCTCTAAAGAGTCAATTCTTACTTTAAGAAATCAGTCGGAGAAAAGTCACCTTGCTTTCCTGATGGTAGGAGCTACTCCCCAGGCCGGCGAAAAGACCTAGGGGGGTCCTAGAATGGGGGGGGGGTCTACATGTCTTAACGTTGCACCCCTAAGATTGCTGATTCTGAATCTCATTCCCTTGGAGGTCTGGTTTTAGTGTTTGGCAACAACGCCCTTTGCATCCTGTAGGCTTACTGACTGGAACCTTACTCTCTGTCTGAATGGTTGGTTCTAGCCTTTCATCATATCTCTTGGGAATCTTCTCTTGAGAACTCCCCCACTGGAGTAGTTGAAACATAGGCTGACCGTTTGTCAGGGATGCTGGGGGGAAACATCCTGCTTTGGGTATCAGATTGGACTAGGAGATCCCCAGGATTTCTTCAAACTCTAGGATTACAGGATTCTGCATTGGAGCTAGTCTTTGGCCCTAGAAATATTATGCAATTGACAACTTGAAGTATGGTCCTAATACTTTCTGGCCTTGGAACAACTCTCTGCTTCTCTTGAAACTGAAATATTAAGCCTTAATATTCACACTCAGAATTCTGCTGGTATTTCGAAACCAGCACAGGACTGGTATTCTGTTGTGTTTAATGGTACAGAGAAATAGTTGCTTATTTTCTTTGGGGACCTGCAGAACCTTTAAATATGTGGACCTTTTGGCATAGGAGAAATAATTGATTCCTCCACACTTTAAATGATAGTGCCTCAAAAGATGGTTTAGCACGAAACTGAGATTTTCTTCCTTGTAAACACTGCTGTTTGTGGTTTGTTGATATTTAACATGTTCTGCTATTTTCCTGCTTGGCCAGGGTTTATAATAACTGAATCAAGAGAATGATAGTAAAGGGGATATTTTCAAGGGTAAAAAAAATACATTGTAGCTGTATTTAAACAGCTAGATTATTTTTTAAAAAATGGGTCTTCCCGTTTTATATATTATGTTAGGAGCTTCTGACAGCAAACAAGGAATTATTTTTAATAGTACAAGATGAAATGCATACATGAGAATATTAGCTTCAAACTTGACAGCTGAAGTTCTGAATTACTGTCACTAAGAATGTAAAAAAACATATGCATTTACAGCCTGGTTGTGGCAACAGGAACTAGGAAAGCGCACTCAATATATATAGTAAGTATAAACATGAATTATAAGCGCAAAAATCTGACTGTTCAGCCAACCAAAACAGTGCTGCTTTCATGAATGGAGTCCTTTTAAATGGAACTTAGTGTATGTAGTAAAACAGGAACAATTTATGCTGTAAGTAATGCATTTATAATCTTTTTTTTTCATTAGCACACTGTGTTATCATTGATAAATGGTAACACACTGTGCTAATTTGTCTCCTAAGACATCCAGTGCTTCTGTTCTTCTGGGCACATTTCGGTTTGGCTGGGACCACCCTGAGATTCCCGTACGCGAGCTAAAGGTTATCTTCCCTCAGTGTGCACGTGCGACTTACCAGCAGCAGGAGCATCTTGAATATAGAGAAGTGGTTAATCCTTCTTGTCAAGAGCGTCTAATTTGTTCATCAGCTGTATCCGTATGATGTCACAGACTGTGGTAATACAGGGATATAGATTCTGTCTCTTCATTTCCCGTAAGAATCGTGCCTTTGATGATTTCTGCTTAAAAATTATTTTAGAAGATGAACATGTCCTTTCTTTACATAATATGGAGAATTGATTACATTGGGAGACGTAGATTGCTTTTCTTCCAACAACACACAGAACTAAAAATGAGAAAAAGGAAAATGCATTTGCATCTAAGGTGAATGATTTTTGTAAAGATTGCTTTCTTCAGTTCCATTGTAGAACATGACTGACGATATTAAAATGTGCTAAGAAAATATGAAAGAAACTTAATCTTCATTCATTTATTCACTCTGTTTTGGGTAATACAGGTTGTGCAGTGCTTTGTGCAGCATAATCAGAGATGAATGATGATAATAGTGCTTCTGAACTCGCACTGTATTGTGAGAGTTTGGATTTCTGTTGGGCATTTAATCTTTGGCTAATGGAACCTTTGATTTTCTTAACCACCCCCCACCATACTGGGGTGCTTTTCCAGCTCTTTTCAATGCAACTTCATGCCACTTTTCATCATAGGTTTGCACACTTCCCACATCCACCTTTTTCAGATAATGACTCATGATCATTGAAAAAGTAGCAGCCGTTGGATGGGAACTCCCTTATCTTTCCACTCCCAAACAAACCTTTCCTGCATCTGTACCTTGTTTGTTCCCTTCTAGTTAAAAAGCAAGAAGAGCCCTAGCCTGCTTTGCTCAGTGGTTAGAGTGTCAGCCCTCGGGCTGAAGGATCCGAGATTCGATTCCGGCCAAGGGCACGTACCTCGGTTTCAGGAGTGACCCCCACTCCTCCCCCGGTCCCGGTTGGGGTGTGTGCAGGAGGCAACCAATCAGTGTGTCTCTCTCACATTGATGCTTCTCTTTCCCTCTCTCTCCTCCACTCTCTCTGAAAAGCAATGGAAAAAATATCCTCCGGTGAGGATTAAAATAAATAAGCAAATAAATAAATAGCAAGAAGACATCCTGTCCCAGCAAAGACCAAACCACCTGCCCTTCACATCCCATCCCCTCTCACCTTCTTGAGGACTTTGTTCCTTCCTTGATTCCTCATCTCTTCTTTGTCTTCATTGTTTCCTCAAAACTAGGTCAAACTCGATCTTCTGTTTTTAAGAACTCTTTCTTTGGCCTTACTTCTCCCTCCAGTTACTTACTGTCCACTTCATAGTTAAGCTGTGCCTACAACCTCTCTTTATTTCCTTACTCCTCAGATTAGTTTGACACTCAACAGTTCTACAGTTCAGCAGTTCCCCCATTAGGATGCTCTTTTTTGTGTGTGTGTTAAATCTCACCTGAAGATATTTTTTCCATTGATTTTTTTTTTTTTTTAAGAGAGAGTTAAAGGGGGCGGGTAGAGAGAGAGGGAGAGGGAGAGAAACATCGATGTGAGATAGACTCACTGATCAGTTGCCTCCCGCATGTGCTTGACCAGGGTGGGGATCCTGCAACCCAGGAACATGTCCTTAACCAGGAATGGAACCTGAGACTCCTTGGTCCACAGGCTGATGCTCTAACCACTGAGCCAAACTGGCCAGGATCTGGATCTTTTTTGTTCTTCAGTTTTGTTTTTGTTTTTTGTTAGATTCCACATATAAGTGAGATCATGTGATAATTGCCTTTCTCTGACTGGCTTATTTCACTTAGTATAATACTCTCCAGGTCCCTCTGTGCTGTCTCAAAGGGTAAGAGATCCTTTTTTACATCTGTATAGTATTCCATTGAGTAAATGTACCACAATTTTTTAATCCACTCATCTACTGATGGGCACTTGGGCTGTTTTTCAGATCTTAGCTATTGTAAATAACGCTGCTGAACATAGCATAGGGGTGCATATATTCTTTCTGATTGGTGTTTCTGGTAGGATGCTCTTTTAAAAATAGAAATCAAATTACCTTTTATGTACAGTTTAAAAACATGCAAAAACAGTTCTACATATTGTTTAGACAAGCCTTTATAAGAATAAAAGTACAAAATCATGCAGGAATGGAGAGCACCAAGTTCGGGAGAGTGGGTGGAGGTGCAGTCACAAAGGAGCACACATATCACTATATTGGTAATGTTTCTTTTCTTAATCTTGGTGGTTCCTACAGTCTTATTATTCTTTGTATAATTTTTCTGTATGTCTGAAATATATTTTTAAACTTTTTTTGAAATACATCCATGTAATCTGCAATTATATAAAAAATTGAACATTACCAACCTTCCAGAAGTCCTCTCCTGCCCTTTTCCAGTTTCTAATACTCCCAAAAATAACCATTGTCCTGATTTTTAGCATCATAAATTCGATTTGCTTGGTCAGAACCTTATATAAATGGAATTGTATATTATGTACTCGTAAATCTGGTTTCTTTTGCTCAATATAATGTCTGTGTGATTCATTCATAGATTTTACCCTGTCAGTATTTTATTTTTTTTTCTTTGCTGAGTGGTAGTCCATTTAATTTGTTTATGAGTTCATCTATAGATGGATGTTTGAACTGTTTCCAGTTTCAGGACATTACTAATAGTGATTCTATAAATATTTATTTGTGGACAAGTCATTTTGTGGACATGTTTTCACTTCTTTTGGGTAAATATAATACTGGGTAATAAGGTACTTTATTGTATTTTAATTTTGTTTACCCCCCTCACACCATTTGTGTTATCTTTGTCATACATTTTAATCTACATATTTTAAAAACCTATTAGGTGTTATTTTTATTGTCTTTAAAAAATTTTTTTAAATACGTTTTTATTGATTTTTAGAGTAAGGGAGAGGGATAGAGAGATAGAAACATCCATTGGCTGCCTTCTGCATGCCCCCTACTGGGGATCAACCACAGAACCCGGGCATGTGCCCTGACTGGGAATTGAACTGGTGACCTCTTGGTTCATGGGTAGATGCTCAACCACTGAGCCATGCTAGCCGGGCTTTATTGTTGTTTTAAAAATCAGTATTCATTTTTATTTACCCACAATGTTTACCTTTTCCATTGCTCTTTATTTTTTTCTACATTACCATGTTTTCATCTGGGATTATTTTCTCCTGCCCAATGAGACTTTCGTTAGCATTTTAAAAAAGTGACTGCT